TGGATCTATTTTGTTCATCAGATTATTTTGTTCATTAGATTCCACATATGAGTGAGATCATGTGATACTTGTCTTTCTCTGACAGTCTTATTTCACTTAGCATGATAATCTCCAGTTTCATCCATGCTCTTCCAAAGGATAAGACATCCTTCTTTTTACAGATGTAAAGTAAATGTATCAAAATTTTTTTATCCACTCATCAACTGATGGGCACTTGGGGTATTTCTAGATCTTAGCTATTATAAATTGTGCTGCCATGAAAATAGGGGTGCATGAATTCTTTCTGATTGGTATTTCAAGTCTCCTGGTATATATTCCTAGAAGTGGGATCACTGGGTCAAATGGTAGTTCCATATTTAACATTTTTAGGAAACTCCACACTGTTTTCCATAGTGGCTACATGACTCTGTATCCCCACAAGCAGTGTACTAGGGTTTCCTTTTCTCCACATCCTTACCAGCACTTCACCTTTATTGATATGATGATGGTAGTCATTCTGACAAGTGTGAGGTGATATCTCATTGCTGTTTTAATTTGCATCTCTCTGATGATTAGTGACTTTGAGCATTTTTTCATGTTTTTTGGTCACCTATATGTCCACTTTGGAGAAGTGTCTCTTTAGGTCCTTTGCACATTTTTTAATTGGATTGTTTTCTTTTTGTTAACTTGAATGAGTTCCTTATATATTTTGGAAATTAGCCCCTTATCAGATGTAACATTGGCAAATGTGTTATCTGATACAGTGGGCCCCCTTCTTGTTTTGTTGATGGTTTCTTTCACTGTGCAGAAGCTTTTTATTTTAATGCAGTCCTATTTATTTTCTCCTTTTTCCCCCCTGTCCTAGGAGATGTATCAGCAAATATATTGCTACAAGAGATGTTTGAGATTTTGCTGCCTATGCTTTCTTCCAGGATTTATTTTTGGTTCACTACTTACACTTAAGTTTTTTATCCATTTTGAATTTATTCTTGTGTATGGTATGTGTTGATGGTCTAGCTTCATTTTTTTTGCATGTGCCTGTCCAATTTTACCAACAGCATTTATTGAAGAGACTGTCTTTTCTCCATTGTATACTTTTGCTTCCTTTGTCAAATATTGAGTGTAAATGTTTGGTTTGATTTTGGGGATCTCTTTTCCGTTCCCTTGATCTATATGCCTGTTCTTGTGCCAGTAGCAGGATGTTTTGATTACCATGTCTTTGTAGTGTAACTTGATATCTGGTATTGTGATCCCTCCAATGTTGTTCTTTTTTCTCAAGATTGAAGTGGCTATTTGGGCTCTGTTTTGGTTCCATATATATTTTTGCTGTGTTTGTTCTAGACCTGTGAGATATGCCATGTATTGAATTTATAGATTGCTTTGGGTAGTATTGACACTTTAATGATGTCAGTTCTACCAATCCTTGACCACGGTATATTTGTCCAGTTGTTTTTATCTTCCTCTCTTTTTGCAATATCCTGTAGCTTTTTGAGTATAGGTCTTTTACCTCTTTGGTAAAGTTTATTCTTAAGTATCTTAATTTTTTTGTGACAATGGTAAATGAGATTGTATTTTACTTTTACTTTTTGTGAATTCACTATTGGTATATAAAAATGCCATCAACTGTCTGGCCAGTGTTGCTCAGTGGTTGAGTATTCACCTATGAGCCAAGAGATCAAGGTTCAATTCCCAGTCAGAGCACATACCCTGGTTTCTGGCCCGACCCCAAGTAGGGAGGGTTCAGGAGGCAGCCAATCAATGATCACTGATATTTCTATCTCTTTCCTTCTCCCTTCCTCTCTCTGAAATCAATAAAGAAATATATTTTTTAAATGCCATAGTTTTCTCAGTGTTAACATTGTATCCTGCTACAATGCTGAATTCATTCATTAAATCTAGTAGTTTTTTGGTGGTCTTTAGTGTTTTTTATGTACAATTCCATGTCATCTGCAAATAATGACAGTTTTACTTCCTTTTTTTCAATTTGAATGCCTTTTATTGTTTCTTCTTGTCTAACCGCTGTGGCTAGGATTTCAAGTACTATGTTGAATAAGAGTGGGTGAAAGTGGTCATCCTTGCCTTATAACTTTTCTTTGGGGAAATGCTTTTGGGTTTTGCCCATTGAGTATGATGTTGGCTGTAGGTTTGTTATATATGGCATTATGTTGAGGTGTGATCCCTCTATTCCTACTTTGCTGAGAGTTTTTATCCAAAATGGGTGTTGGATTTTGTTGAATGCTTTTTCTGCATCTATTGATATGATCATGTGGTTTTTGTCTTTCAATTTGTTTATGTGGTGTATGACATTAATTGATTTTTGAATGTTGTATTAGTCTTGCATCCCTTGAGTAAACCTTACTTGGTCATGACATATGATTTTTTTAATATATTGCTGGATCCAATTTGCTAATATTTTGTTGAGGATTTTAGCGCCTATGTTCACAAGGATATTGGCCTGTAATTTTCTTTCTTTGTAGTGTCTTTGTCTGGTTTTGGGATTAGGATAATGCTGGCCTCATAAAAAGAGCTTGGAAGTGTTCATTCCTCTTGGATTTTTTGGAATAGTTTGAGGAGGATAGGGGTTAGTTCTTTGAATGCCTGGTAAAAATCCCCTGTGAATCCATCCAGACCAGGGTTTTTGTGGGCTTGGAGTTTTTCTAATTCTGCTTCAACTTCATCTGTAGTTATTGGCCTATTCAAGTTTTCTGACTCTTCTTGATGGAGTTTTGGAAGATTGTATTTTTCTAAGAATTTGTCCATTTTTTCCAGGTTGTCCAGTTTGGTGGCATACAGTTGTTCAGAGTGTTTTCTTACAGTCATTTTTATTTCTGTAATTTCAGTTGTTACTTCATCTTTTTTATTTCTGATTTCTGATTTTGTTTATTTGGTTCCTCTCTCCTTGTTCCTTGATGAGTCTGGCTAAAGGTTCATCAATCTTGTTTATCTTTTCGCAGAACCAGCTCTTGGCTTCATTGTTTTTTTTATTGCTTTTTTTAGACTCTATGTCATTTATTTCTGCTCTGATCAAAGTTATGTCCTTCCTTCTACTTACTCTGGTCTTTTCTTGTTCTCCTCTTTGTAACTCTTTAAGCTGTAGGGATAAATCGTTTATTAGAAGTTTTTCTTCCCTTTTTTTTTTTTTTTTTTTTTTT